TCTCGGTCTAAGATTGAAAGATTCTCCCGGTTTTTTTGCAAAATACCAAGAGTGGTTGGGAGGAGTTCTTATGGTCTTGTTTAATTTCATTTCTGCCAGGGGAGAAATTTCACTAAAGGTAAGCTTCCCACAATGATCAGTGTCTTCTTCGGCAGCGGACTTGGCCAGGAAGTCAGCCCTCTCATTCCCACCAACCCCAACATTTGAGGGAATCCACGGACAGTGATTTTGTGAGAAGAAGTTTTGTGAAAAGACATGAACGTTTCACATGGTCATTTGGTTGTCAGTTCTTCCCAATGTAGTTCTGTGCCTTGACTATGGAGTGCTGAAGTCATTCAGATTTTTAAAATCACGTCCAAATCATTTGGTGGGTCTTAGCTAGTTAATTTCATTGTACAATATAATGTGCTAGATGAAGAATATATATCATCTGTACAATGTTTCATGGAGCTGACAATTAGCTTACTTATAAGTTCACCAGTTTGAGTTACTTATAAGTTCACCAGTTTGAGTTACTTATAAGTTCACCAGTCGATGTATGTAACCTCTTCATTGCCACGGTCCACTTATGTGGATCTCCGCTTCTTAAGCTCAAGAGCACGCTATACGAAAATTTATAGTTTTACCCTCACTGAAACATTTGTGGACGTTTAATATTTCTGGGGATTCCAATAGACACAGAACATGCAAGTTATTAGAGTAGAATTCCACGGAAGTGATTTTCAAAAATCGACACAAAATCCAAGTGCTCGAAACCGATAGTAAGTTTAAATATTATATAATTTAGTTATTCTGAAAGAAATTTTTTACTTAGNAATAATACAAAATCTCATAGTATAATGAAATCTATATAAGATATATCTATTCAGAGAGATTATGAGAAATTTTGTTTTTTTTATGATTAATGTTAGATTCTTTTCAATAATTATTTATTTTGCGTGGTATGCAAAGTTACAATAGTTTTGAAACTGATATTTAAAGTAGTATTACAATATACTTAAAAAAAACTTCGTATTTTTTTTAAATTTATATTTTTGATAAATTATTAAATTTATTCATCGTTGTATTTAAGGAGATAATAATTAAACAATATGCCCGTTTGTTCCGATTTTAGGTACATTCCGTTTTAAATATTTATATAATTTTACTTACTTAAGACCTGAGATTCAAGTATGTGTATCTGAAATTTTTAGCTCATTGGCAGTATAATTCATATTATCTTAATCTTATTATTACTTATGGAAGTAAAATGGAAATTCGGAACTGTAAGATATTTCTGCTATATCCCTTTATACTTCAGTTGTGCAGAAGTTAATGTGATGGTGAGAAAAGGACTCATGATCTGTTGGTCTGTACAGCAATGCTTACAGGCCAACAGATTAGCAGGTTTGTACAACAAATGAATAATGCTCGTTTAGCAACTGAAGAGGATCCCTGTAGTACAAAAACTGTGTTACAGGGATTCTTTTTAGTAGTGAACAGGGATTTATTGTGTTACAGAGATCCTCTGTACAGTAGTGCTTACAGGCCAACAGATTATCAGGTTTGTACAATAGATGAATAATGTTCATTTTACAACTAAAGAGGATCCCTGTAGCACGAAAACTGTGTTGCTTTTTGAAACATCACAACCAGTTAAAGTATAGTATAGCTAACATTGCTTTCCATTTGACGGCAAGTTGGAATCGTTTAGGGTAATAATTACAGTATACGTCAACATATATATTTATAATTATTTCGAAATCACCAGAAGAAAAATCACAAATGGTTTATTTATCTTAAAATATGTTTGTAAGTAAAATTTCATTAACATCGGTGAATGGCTTTTTCAAAGTAACCATGTAAGTTTTTTCGCTGTAAAAATGGAAGAAATATAAACAAAGGGCATTTAATGCACACTCTATTTGAAATTATAACTTTTAAGGAAATTCCATCTGAGCATATCGATATTAAAAATTTCTACAATCATTTTTAAGTGTGCTTAGTTTGAACTGGTATTTCAGAAGATGAATATTAATGAAATTAAAAATAATTATGATAATAATTAGTTTTTTACCAAGTTTTACGTGGCTTGCTTGTGTTAAATAGTCTTGGAAGAGAAAATACATGCAAATTTTTGATCACTTTCCGATATTACACTGATTACATTTCCTCTTCCATTTTTTTTCTTTTTACTGTTATTTTTATTTTTTTTAAAATTTCAACATAAAAAGTGTATAAAGAAAAATTATAAAATAATTATTTTAGTACTATTCAATAATAAAAAAAATTATATTTTTTAATTATTTATTAAACGTAGTATAAGCTTTAATAGACATTCCTTTTTCCTTTTCGGTTTTTTTTGTCTGTTTTCTTACACTCATGTATAGTGCTCCCCAAAAAATGGACCACTCTGAATAAATTTTGATCTAATGATTGGACCTTCACGTCAATCATTAGATTGACGTGATAGTTTGTTAGATCTGATAATCGTTAGATTTGGTGACCTCAAATTTGTTAATTAATTAGTGAAAACGATGTTTTAATTTACGAAATCAGACAGAAGGACTTGCATTCTCCGCATAAACATACCTTTTGTTCCGACAAATTTGGATTTGTGGTCCACAAAACATAGGAGGTAGCTGCAAGCTGAGAACATGGTCCTAATAGTTTGACCAAAAGAGCTATCAAGAGCTTGGACCCCTTAATGTTAATTTTGCTTTTGTGAATTTCACCATTTCTCAGGAGCGTTTTAAGCGAATTGAAATTTTTTGCAGGTAGTCATAAAATACGTTTATTCAAAGATATTCCGATTCAAAAAAATAACTCAGTATTTTTTATTATTTTATTTAAAAATAGTCAATAAATTTTTGAAGAGTAAGGTTTAAAACTTTTTACATCAATTTAAGAATGTAATTTCACATGGCAAGGAATAAAATTTGATCAAATTGGTAAAATATTTCTTGAGAAACAGAATTTTAAAAAAAGTCGTAGATTTAATCCTCTCAAACCATTAAGATTGAGTCCTAGAACGTGAAGATCCGATCAAAATTTATATAAGGTGGTTCATTTATTTTATTTGTGCATTGTCCATCCCTTTCATACACTTTGTAAACGAATATTATTCACCGAGAAAGATTATAATAATTAGAAATATATTCATTTACCATCGATTGAAAATTTTACTTTGTTAACTAAAAAAACAAAAAAATAAAACTCACAAATTGCGAAATTTTCCCAACCTCTGACCAACAGTGTGTTGAATATTTCAAATCAAGTGTGTCCCATTTGTTATTATTTTGTTTTCTTAAGATGAAGATGTAGGTCAAAAACTTGTTTTATAAAGTCTTCACAAAGTTGGAAGTCTAAAAATACTCTCAACACATGCTCTTGACTTTGCGAAGCCTTCCTCAACACATTAAGAGCTTCAGTTATTAACAAACTAATAATAACTCTTTGTTGTCTAAAGTTAATGGTCTAAAAAACAATTCAGTATAGTTGAGTACATTGTTCTCTTGAGTGTAAAAACTATGGATAGCAATGCCAACCATGAATATTTGGCACACAACCAGTCCACATACCTATAAAATATATTAGCTGGTAAATTGCGTTTTTATGTCTTAAAAAATGTTTCCACGCTAAGCTACTTCTTTTTGAGCGTATCTTCCAACTCAGTGTTACGCTAAGTCTGTGTTTAGATTTTGATTCAGTTTCAAAACAATTTGTTTGGCTTTTACGGCGCAATTATTTCAAGAAGTTCTCTTTTTTTTCCCATCAATCCTGCTAAACGTTTTACGTGAGATCTTGAAGTTTAAACGAGTGATTGCTTTTACTGTTCTTTTAAACGTAACCATTATATTTCGAGTACTTGCTCACTACTACTAAGTCAAATTTCTTAAATGACATTTGTAAACATTTAATGTAGACATAATAGATATGATTGCAAAAAATTCTGAGAAATCGAATTTTTAAATATACGACTTTTTTAAAATTCGATTTCTCATTAACTATTCAAACGATTTCACACAAATTTTGTATTTTGCCATTTAAAATTAAATACATCAAAATGTTGTAAAAAATTGTATAACTTACAATTAAATAAAATAATTCAAAATTAAGGAGCATTTACTGAAATTTAATTTTTGCATGGAATTATCTTTGGGTGAACGATTTTTATAATTGTATGCAGAAATATTTCAATTTGCTAAAACAAATCTCGAGACATAGCGAAGTATGCAGAAAGTAAAATTAATATTAAGGGAGCCAAGCTTTGGACGACTTTCCTGATCAAACTATGGGGACCATATTTTCCACAAAGCTGTCACCCCTATATTTTGGGGGTCAAAAGTGCGAATCCGTAGAAAGAAAAAAAAGTATGTTTATTCAGAGGAAGTACGTTTTTCTGTCTGATTTTGTAATTAAAAATATCGTCTGCACTAATTATTTAGAATATTCGAAATCACCCTCTCGAACCATTAAGATTGTGTCCTAGAACGTGATGATCCGATGATTTTATCAAAAGTTATTCAAGGTGGTCCGTTTCTTTTGTGCACTGAACTATAAATAATTCTGTTTACTTACGCTTGTCAACTTCAACTTCCCACGTCCAACATTCATTTCTTTAAATTAAATCTTTATTTTGCGTCAAATTTGATTGATAAACAGTATAAAAGATCTCGCATGATTCTATTAAGATCTATTAGCTAACTTAAATAATTTTGCTTAGTAATCCTTTTTTCTGAAAGACAAAAGTTTTAAAATTAAAGGTATATTTGGCGAATTCATAACCGTAATTTAATATTTTCGTTTAACAAACAGACTGATATTTTCAATATAATTTATGCATGAAGCTGATCGTTAAGCTCTAAATTATTTAACGAATATCTTTAATAGTAATATGTAATATGATATTATTGTAAATTACATCAAAAATTAATAATTGTAAGACGGTTAACACCGATTCAAATAAGTATATCTCAAAATGTAGCGTAATAAAGTAACATCATAGAATTAAGATATGATAAAGAGACAACACATTTATTTTTAAACTCTGTTGCTGGCCCACACGGTTAGCGGAGCTAAACCAAGTCCATGACTCCAGAGACTCTGAGCAAGTCTGTAACAAAAAGTGGATCTGAAAAGAGGTCAACTTTAGAGATATTTAGGCATTGAAATATATGTTCAGGAGTAGCTTGTTGGTCGTTACACTTAGTGCAAACAGGGAAAACTCTTGAACCATTACTGAACAACATAGTTCTTAGGTGACCGCTTCGAAATCTTGATATAACCGTCTGATCCCGCCTGCTGCACTGAAGGGTCAGGCTGCCACCTGGGCTGTTGCACTGATACCAATGATGAACAGGAGGGGCCACAGGATCTTTTAAACTCTAAATTTAGTAAACAATCAAATTCAAAATTGTTATAATATTCGAGTGAAATAACAAAAATAAATATTACAGGTAAATACCTCAAAATTAGGGATACAAAACCTTTAAACCCTTTAAAATTAGGGATACAAACCTTTTTTTTTAGGGTTATAATCTTTTAAACCTCTTAAAATTAGGCATACCTTTTACAGGAGAACAATATCTTTATGACCTTTATTAATTTTATGCTGATGCAGGGACCACGCTGAGCATTCACCACTTCGCCAAAAGGGTGCATTTTGCAAATAAAATTGTGTTTTGGCGAAAGTATTTATTGGTGAGTGATTTTTTTTTCATTGGAAACAAATTAAAATTACGTCAAAATGAATTTTTCCAAACAAATGAGTATTTTTTATTCCATTACGGTAATTTTCGGTAGATTCATCACATAATCAATTAGAATTGGGTTCAAATAATATAAGCCTGAGACAAACAGTTTACATAAAAGAATATATTAATTATTAAAATATATTATTAAGGAATAAGTTAAAGAATNGTGCCAATATATATATATATATATATTTGCTGTTTCATGTTGTTTTATCTTGCATTTGTGCATTGTTTTGAGGTATCTCTATCATTGAGGAGAAAAATCACGAAAAGAAAACAAAGATGACTCCCGTTCGGTGATTTCGTACATGGAATAACATCTATGGATTAATTTATTGGAACATTGTATGACAGATTGCTTTTATAAATGAGATAAAATTTTAAAAATGGGTAATCGATCATAATGGTAATAATTTCGTATCTTAAATATTTAGTAATATTTCCATCTGTATAAAATAAATTTTTTATTGATACATTAACGAAATCTATAGTGTAAATTATTACTTTGCTTTTGTAGTGTTCAATATGTAACTTTGCATTAAATTTTATTTCAATTTCATTTAAATGAAAGCTTGTTTTTACTTATAAAATGTGTGGCTTCAGAATAATCTATTCATTTTAAATATCAAATTAAGCTTAATTAGAGGCTATTTGTTTAACGAATTTAGGCTTATTTTCTTTAAAAAAAGAACTTTAGATTAATCAGCTATCATAATCTTCAAGAAGCCATTTTTTGAAGAATTGCTTATGTTTAATTAAAAGATAATTTAATGGAATGCATTCATTTTCTGAAACAAATAAAATTATTTCTCTGCACGTTCTCATTAGATAGCAGCAGTCTTGTTTTAAATTATATCATGGTTTGAAAACGGGCATAAATTTCCTTGGGAAATGAAGCTGCATGGAATTTGGATCAATACAAAACCTTTTAACGTCCGTGTTTGCGAAACAGTGCCGGGGCTTAATGAAAACAATAGACACTTGTAATGAGAAGAGAGGGGCGGAATTCGAGAGAAGTACTCTGTTTCTTCCATTCTCTGTGTTTGACGTCTAATAAGAGAGCGAGTACTGAGTACTTTGTTAGGATTTTATTAATGACGATATGTATTTGGATCTGAATTTCGGGAAAAGATTAAATGAGTAACAAATTCTTAGTGAATAATTTATTTGCAAATGTTGCATTTTTTTAGTTCAAAATAAAATTAACACGTTGAATGCCACGCTAATTTTTCATGGCTTTGCCCGTTAGGCCACACGGTGAATAACTACAAACTAAATTTGCAAATATTAGACAGATTTTGCTAGTTTTTTAAAAGATTATATATGTCAAAAGTAATGAATTATATAGGCGTGCGAATTGTTTAGAAATAATGGTGGATAAAAATCTACTAAATTGAATTTACTAGAACCAAGAATCACAATTAATAAACTACCACTTGAAAATATTTATTCGCTGTTCGGTGCAAGTTGGCATCTCTGTGTGTATAAATAAAACTATTTTTGTGTGTTTTATATTGCATTAATTTCTTCAAGCCATTTTAGTAACGATAATAATATAAAAAAAATTGCAAATTTACTCCAATTATGTGTTTCTAATAATCTTGGCTTCGCCGGTCACCGGTCACTCCCGTGGCGCTACGAGGAAACTCAGTGCCGGTCACCAGTGACCCCCATGGCATTCAACGTGTAAATAGAGATCAATTTGAAACAATTTGTCTCAGGGTTAAAAATTCGTATATTCTTTTAATACATTTCCCTCAGGTAAATCTTCAATTCAATGAAGGTGCATTATATTATGCACTCCAAACTATAAATAAAATTACGGTTTACTTAGGATGCTAAAGGGAAAAACAAGATTTTTATGAAAAATATTCCTTTGAGGTGACAATTACTTCTTTCAATAAAGTTGGCTGAATCAAATCTGGCTAATAGCTAATTGATGTGTAACATTGCGTGAAGCGCCATCTGTGAGAAACATTATTAATAACTGTGAAAGAAATAACGTTTTTGTTAGTGTTATTATGCGTTTATAAATTTTTAGCTCATCATGTACTTAAATGCAATAGGCGCTTTTAGGTTGAAGTACCTCTCTTACTTGTATGTAACTAAATACGCACGGATGGTTGATAGTAAGGAATAAGATTTACATTGATACGATTTAAAGTAGAACATTGAAATGGAAGAACACGAATATGGCTGACTTCGATGTAGAAAAAAATTATTGGGACGGATTTGGCCTGCTTTGCCATCACCTCCTAGAACTGGAAACCAAACACGTCAGGAATGACTCATATTGGGTAGTTCATTCGACCACTACCTCCTAGAACTGATGATTCGACTCGCCGGTTGCGAGGTATAAAGTTTATAGTTAATTTTGTTATTCCAGCTCACTTCAGCTTGATTATTATTATTCTTTAAATTATTTTAAGAAGCATTGCAAACAAAATTCTGCAATGTATTTAATAATATATATATAATATATTTAACGCTATCAAACTGAACTTTCATTTGTTGTTATAACTGCTCTAACATACGAATCATTTAGAGTGAACCTTGAATGGTAGATCTACTGTTCCAACTTAAATTAATGCTGAAAAATATGCAGAAATATTAAAAAAAAATAAAGAAAAGCTTTTGCTTATTATTCATGTAGAAATGAAAGTGATTATAGAAGCTAAAAAAGTTCCTCTAATGATTGATTACTTATATGCAGTATAAATTATATTCTAAACACAATACCTATTTCAAACAATATACATTTATTTTAGCTATTTTAAATTAAACTTAAAAATTTTCGAGAAGCCAGTTAAATACATATGTATGTAATGATTAGATTGTTAATGTTAGATTGTCTAGCTTTTAGAGGTGATGGCTTTGCGCTGTAGTGCCAAGAGGAAAAAAAGATATATTTAAGAAGAAGATATATTAATTTCTGGGAATACCAGAAGAGATACATATTATATTATCGGGAGGTGTGGTTGATGGAAGGGCCATGTGGTGAAGATCATTCGCCATCTGCTTGTGCTGGAAGTTGTATGTCTCCATTCAAATGAAAAACACAGATTTTTGTAGACGAAGGCATTTTATTTAACATTTCTATTTCATTTCAGTTTTTGAGAAACATGTTCATTTCAGTAAGCGGCTCATCAATGCACAAGAGCCTAACTGCACCACGTGCATGCTGGATCCTCCCTGTGTGCTCCAGGGAGTAGATAGTAATTTAATTTAAGTCATTTGAATAATAATTGTTTTCTTGCTGAATTTACCTGATGCATCAAATAATTAGGAGATAAGGAAAAACTTATTATGGTAAAAATCAATGATTAAATTCTAGAGCACACAGGGGGGAAAAACAAAAAATTATCCTGCTGCTTAAGAAAGCAACCAACTATTCGAGATCCACGGGGAATACTGGTCTATCTCCAAAAGATAGCGTCCCCTCCTTAGCGGTTGCAAGAATCTCTAAAGACGAGCTATGAGTCGAGCCCTAGAGATCCTGCAAAGGCAATGAAGAGGGCGCTCCTGTTGGAGACAGCCCAGTAGGAAGAGTAAATATTGTGGTGATCCCATGATCACACCACAATACACATTTTGAATTGTGTGTCACAAGAGCAATAAAGCATCAGTCACTACAAAATGTCCATCCAAGTGCAATTAATGTGCTCGTTAATGACAAAAAGGGATTTTTAAACTCATATTCTATAAACTATATCTTTCCGGCTTGCTTCGATTATTTAAGATCAACATTCGATTAGGACTTGTTAAAGTCAGTAGTGAAGATAAATCAGTGTAGGGCTATTGAAGAACAGCTGAATATTCTTAACCAACCTCCTTTGACCATGCAGGAACATTTCCAGTAAATTGATTAAACATGTTAAGTTCGTATGCCATATAAATTCGCCAAAGAAAACAAACATGACCAAATCACTACATGCAACCTATACCTTTAACTGTACAATATTAAATCGATCATTTTGAAAAGCTGATATAGACTGATCTGAACACTTCAATCAAATCGAACACAAAACATTTACAAAAGGCGCTATTCCGTAGGATATGCTGAACTGCCCAGCGCAGAACAAACCTAGGAAATCATGTAAAATAATACATTGGCAAACATATTTGTGTAGCATTGCAGCATTTAATTGCCATTAATTTTGATCTCAGAAATCCTTTGCAAAAAAAAAATTGTAAATTTGGATAGAGTAAGGATATTTTACCCTTGTTTCCATTTATCTGGCATCTAAAATATGAAAACTGGAAAGATTTAATAATAATAAAGGTCATAACATATTTTATTAATAATAGAACTTGATAAAACATGCTTGTCCAAATTCACTGTGAAAATATATAAATATAAATTTCACATAACTCTAATAAGATAATGATTTATTTTTCTTTAAAGAAAGTCGCATTTTAGTTTTTATAATTCTCTGATGAATTCCTACTCTAATTTTTATCATTTTCTGATTAATTCTGATTCTAATTTTTATCATTTTCTGATTCCTTTTCTTCAGCAGAATTAATTATAATAGATCATATTCCCCTTATACAAAATTTTTTTAACTGTAAACTGTGTTAGAAAATTATTCATTTTTCTAATTATTATTTGTAAAAAAAAATTATTATAA